AGGACCAGGTGAAGCCGAAGCGCTGAAGGACCTGCTGCACCATGTGTGACTGAGTCAGTGTGATGGTGCGCCGTGCTCTGTCCCAGGTGATCTGCAAGCCAAGGTAACTGCGCAGCTCACCCAGGTCTGTGCACGTGTGTCTCTTCTGCAGCTCCGACTTCACCAAGGCGAGAGCCTTAGTGTCAGCAGTGGCAAAGACCAAGTCGTCGACGTACACGAGGATGTAGAACGGTGGCAGCGAAGTGTCGGTGCGCAGGAACAGCGACGGGTCAGCAGTCAAAGGAGCGAACCCAAGAGCCGCAAGTGTAGTCCTCAGTGTGTCGTGCCACTCACGAGGCGCCTGGCGGAGACCGTAGACTGGCCGCCGGAGGCTCCACTGGGTACCAGGAGGGAACGACCCAGTGAAGCCAGGTGGGCGGCGCAGCTAGATCTCCTCGTGCAGGCTGCCCTGTAAGAAGGCTGTGCTGAAGTCAAGAGAGTGAAGCTCGTAGTCACGCTGAGCGGCAACGTGCAGCAGCACCCGAAGAGTGGTCATCTTCGGAGTGGGGGAGAAGGTCTGGAAGAAGTCAACTCCCTCTCGCTGACTGAAGCCTCTAGCAACGTAACAAGCCTTGAAGACAGGCGGAGAACCTGGCGGCCGCTTCACCCTGAAAATCCACATGCCATCAACGATGTTCACCCCCGGAAGGGGAACATCATCGACGTAAGTGCCTATGGACTTCCAGGATGCCATCTCTGCGTCCATGGCTGTCTACCACTGAGAGGAGTACTCACCTGCGATCGCCTCAGCGTAAGAGCGCGGGGTCGGGATGTCTGGTGCATCCGGGTCTCCCTCAGGGGCAAGCAGCATGGCCACGAGATGAGGCGCAGCAGCCGCAAGACACTCAAGGTCCTCGTGCCTGTCCTCAAGGACGTCCGTGCTAAGAGCACACTCACCCCCGACGGATGGAGGACAGACAGACTCAGACTCAGCAACAAGACTGGCAGCGAAGTCTAGACGACAGGCAGCAGCAAAGTCAACAAGCTCAGCGACCAGAGCAGACGCAGCAGTAGACTCAAACGACGGGTCAGTGACAACAGTGGCTAGCAGACGCGTGACAGTAGGGTGCTCAGCACGATACCGGTCAGACTCAGGGTCCGGAACGGCAGGCAGAGAGGACGCAGGAGGAGACGGCAGAGGAACAGGCTGCGGAGCAGAGGAAGGACGATGGACTAGGAGGTGTGTGCTGGGGACAGCCGGCTGACGCGAACTCGGAACACGACGACCGGTACGACCAGGACGAACAGGCGAGACAGGACGCGACGCTGGCTCACGACGCTCAGCAGGACTACCTGTCTGCTCAGTGTAAGGAGAAGGAGCAGGCAGCGGTGAGCCAGGCTGTAACGGAAGACCAGTAGACGACGAGAGAGTAAGAACCTGACGAAGAACAGAGTCAGGCGGCGGCAGAGACGACGGAGACGGCGGAGCGAAGAACAGTCGTGTCGGCGCAGCTGCACTAGTACCGGTAGCTCCAGCAGCTCCAGTACCTCCAGCAGCTCCAGCACCTCCAGCAGCTCTAGAAGCTCCAACCCCAGAACCCACACCTCCAGTCCCAGGGTCTCCAACCTCAGTGTCTCCAGCAGCAGCACCCCCAGAACCAGCACCTCCAGTCCCAGGGTCTCCAGTCTCAGTGTCTCCAGCAGCAGCACCTCCAGACGCAGCACCCCCAGCCCCAGCAGCTCCAGTACCTCCAGTACGAGCACCTCCGGGACCAGCGACTCCAGCACCTCCAGTAGACAAAGTACCAGCACCACTCCTAGCTCCAGGGACGTCAGCAGAAGTACCTCCAGCAGCAGAGCCCCGGGCTCCAGCAGCGCGACCCTGACGGCGACCGTACCAGTCGTGCAGCTGCTGTGAGGTGAGAGGCACACGTGGACGAAGGCGGCTACTCCAACAAGACCGCACAACAGTAGACTCAGAACCCTCAGCGCCAGCACCCCCAACTGCTCCAGAACCTCCAGCGCCAGCACCCTCAGTAGCTCCAGAACCTCCAGGCGCAGTACCTCCAGGCTCCTCACGCGTAGGCTCAGTACCCTCAGACTCGGCACCCCCAAGCTCAGCACCTCCAGGCTCCTCACGCGCAGGCACAGCACCCCCAGACTCCGCACCCCTAGGCTCAGCACCTCCAGGCTCCTCTCGCTCAGGCTCCGCACCCTCAGACTCGACACCCCCAAGCTCAGCACCTCCAGGCTCCTCACGCGCAGGCACAGCACCCCCAGACTCCGCACCCCCAGGCTCAGCACCTCCAGGCGCCTCTCGCTCAGGCTCCGCACCCCCAGGCTCAGCACCCCCAGAGACAGCACCCCGAGCAGGACCACCTCCAGCAGGACCTGAGTCACCAGTGACCTCAACAGGCGCAGGTACCGGAGGGTCTACCTGAGAAACACCTGAAGGAGCAGGACCTGGCGCGGGGAGGGGGTCTACCTGGGGAGGACCTGGAGCGAGAAAGAGCGGCGGGGGGGGGGCGAGAGGCAGTGCGGTAGGGAAAGAGACGGTAGAAGGGAACAGACTCGTCAAAGGTGACGTCCTGAGATGCAAAGACACGGCGCGAGGTGGAAACTGCCAGCCAGGCGCGTCACGAGGAAAACCAAGGAAGACGCAGGGAATGGCGCGAGCAGAGAGCTTGTCCGCGGTGAGATCGCGGACAAAGGCACGAGCACCCCAGACCCGGAAACGCGACGCATCGCCAACCTCCCCCGTCCACAGCAGCGTGGGCGAGGTCTCCGGCAAGGAGACACGGGGCCAGAGGTTGAGCTGATGCGCGGCGTACCGGACCGCAAACGGCCACAGAAAATGGGGAGCTGCCGCATGGATCATGGAGGTACGAGCGACCTCCATGACTAAGCCAATGCGGCGCTCAGCAACCCCATTCTGCTGCAGAGAGGCCGGAAGCGTGAACGACTGGGTGATGCCGTGCTCCGCACAGAAGGCTGCCAAGAGGTCAGAGGAGAACTCACCACCTCTGTCAGAGTGCGGACGCAGGACAGGAAAGTCCCGCTCGAACCGCTCGCGGAGCTGGAGACGCACAGCGCGGATCCAGGGGATCAAAACAGCAGGGACGTCCCCCTTGCTGCGCAAGGGGAAGACCGTGGTGTAACGCGTGTAGTCGTTGACGACCAGCAGGAAGTACCGCTCACGGCCCTGTCCCTGGACGCGGGCTGGGCCCCACACGTCCAGGTGGAGCGTCTGCAACGGAGCCTCTGTGGGAGGAAACGAGGAGGAGTGAGGAGCGGCGCGCTGCCGCCCCTCGACGCAGGGAATGCAGGGCGGCGCAGGCGAGGGAGGGAGGGCAGGCAGAGACCTGGGAAGCCCAGAGACCAGGGAGCGAGAGTGCAAGCTACAAAGGCGAGGCAGGGAGGGGTGACCAAGGCGGTGGTGCCACAGAAGCGTGTCGTGCGACAGGCGGCTGTCAAGATAACCGGTAGTCTTAGGAGCCATAGCTAGGAGAGTCATAGATAGGCAAGAGAGTTTAGGCGAAAGAGGAGGGTTGCACTAGCAAGAATGGGGATACAAATAGCAAACCCTAGAAGGGTTGTACTCGCTATAGAGCACCCCACTACAGGCTAGAGCATAATATTCTGACACACCCCCATAGCCAAAGTGGGGTGTAATCAGCAGAGCAAGCAAAGCAGTACAAGCTCAGGGTGGATCACAATGTCACCACACATTCTGAGCACAAGTTTAAGAAGCAATAGTTTAAAGTTCACAATTATGAGCAAAGCTAGTGGTAGTCACAACGGGCAAGTGAGGAGGAGGAGGGCTGGCGAGAGGAGAGTAGATGGGAGGCGACGACTGAAGCTGCAGGCACACGGGCAACAGACGGCTCTGGTGCGACACAGTGGCTACCGGGAGTGAGTGCCCCGGAGTACAGGAGTAACAGGCTCCGCGGCTAAGACGAGCAGCAGGAGCAACGGACCCACAGGCGACGGCGCAACCGGCTCTCTGAGCTACCGGGAGTGAGTGCCCCGGAGTACAGGCGCTGCGTACGACACGACGGCAACCTCCCCTCAACCTCCCCCAACAGTCCCACACCCCTCGACACACACCCCCTGCTGAAACCCTAGCTCCACTCCCATGGCACCCCCCTTAAACCCTAAACCCTCGGCTCCCACACACCCACCCCCCTGAGCAGCAGCTGCAGCAGTGGGAGACGGAGGAGGAGGAGGAGCAGGGGACGGCTCACACTCACGGCACCCCCATACCCTCCACCCCCAAACCCTAACACAGGAACGCGGGCAGTAGCGGGGGTGGGGGGTGGGGCGCCGGCAGAAGCTCGGGGGACGGACGAGGCGCGCGCACGGGCCTGCCGCAGGCCGGACGAGGCGCGCGCGGGCTGCCCGGGCCGCGCGCGGGCCTGGCGCAGGCCGTACGGGCCGCGCGCGGGCTGTACGGGCCGCGCGCGGGCCTGGCGCAGCCCGTACGGGCCGCGCGCGGGCCTGGCGCAGCCCGTACGGGCCGCGCGCGGGTCCCAGGGGCGCTTCGACGGGCGACGGGGGCGTTTCGACGGGCGACGGGGGGCGCTCCGACGGGCGACGGGGGCGCTTCGACGGGCGACGGGGGGGAGCGCTTCGACGGGCGACGGGGGGCGCTTCGACGGTGGGAAACCGCCGCGCGCCTCGGGGCGCACGGCGGGCAGAAAACCGCCGCGTGCCCCGAGCGCGCGGCGGGAAGAAAAAACGAACATCGCGCGCCACGGGACGCGCGACACACAGGAAGGCAGCGGAAGCAGGCGGGCCCACAGGCCAGGAGCGTAACCGCTCTGATAGCATGTCAAGATAACCGGTAGTCTTAGGAGCCATAGCTAGGAGAGTCCTAGCTAGGCAAGAGAGTTTAGGCGAAAGAGGAGGGTTGCACTAGCAAGAATGGGGATACAAATAGCAAACCCTAGAAGGGTTGTACTCGCTATAGAGCACCCCACTACAGGCTAGAGCATAATATTCTGACAGCGGCGGCACTCACACTAGGTAGCTACCTGAGCAGACGCGTACAGCTGAGGAGACAAAGGGGTGTAGCGTGAAACAGTGGTGAGGGTGTACAGACTGGACCCCGGCTCACGAGTGAACGTGGCCAGGTGGCGGCCAGTCTTGGAGCACGTGCAGATCGCCACACGCTGCCCTCCAGGAGTCCAGGTGTCAACCCAGTGATCCTGGAGGACGGCGTTGCTCACCAGGTTCGTAGAGAACGAGGGAACGTGGAGACCTGACAGCTCACCAGACGGGACCGCCGGGCACGGGAGCACAGTCGTGGCTCGTGCAAGCACTGGGCCCCCAGAGGGGTCAGCCAGTGAGACAGGGACAGGTGCAGGGAGGGGAGTGACGGTGGTGCTATCGCGAAAGAAACAGCGGGAAGCACCAGAGTCAAGTGTAAACGTGTGCAAGGCCTGAGCCGACGCAGTACCAAGGGGAGCAGACTCACTAGCACCTAGGGCTGCAGCCCTTATACCGGGGTCAATACCAGGGTCAGGCGGCACACACAAGTAGCAGTCACCCTCAGCACTAACAGTCAATGCATACATGGCAGCAAGAATAACATCATAGTCCAGATCAAAGATAGGCACATCACGCCTAAGCAGCTCTGCCCAGTTGGGGAACTCAGTAGCATCAGGGTACTTGGCGCGCAAGGCGTCACTAAGCCTAGCAAAACAACGATACTCAGTGTGAAAACCGTCGCAGGTGCGACCCTGGCGGGGACCAGTACGAATGACATAGGGGCAGCGGTCAGAACCCCGAGTCGCCCCACGCCCAGCAAACCAGTTATTTAGCTGCTGGGAGGTGAGGGGAGGACGCTGCTGCTGCTGCTGTGGCTGCTGCTGCTGGCCACCAGTGGGGCCACCCTTCTGGCCAGATCCACCCCCACTCCCACCTCCACCGCCACTGCCGCTGCCTCCTCCCCCACCACCTCCGCTGCCGCCTCCACCGCCCCCGGTCCTGCCGCCACCCCACCCACCGCCTCCACCCCCACGTCCACTCCCACCACCTCCACCACCCCCGCCGCCTCCACCACCGCTCCCTCCACCGCCACCTCCGCCACCCCTGCCACCCTTGTTGCCCTTGCCACCGCCGCGCTTCCCACCAGGAGCGGAAGCCGCTGCGACCTTCTCCGCACCGAGGAAGTCGAATGCAGTAGCAGCAGAGGTGTAGGAGGGGTCAAGAGGGGAGGGGGAGCACCCCTCAAAGAGGGGAGTGCGAGGAGTGCCACGAGCAGCACCGACAGCGAGGATGTTCTTCTCTGCTGCGACCAGCTGCTGCTCGAAGTCGTCCAGAGTGATAGTTGGAGGATCCTTGGCAAGGAAGTGATCCCTGACAGAACGAAGAGTGTCAGGGAGGCGGGTGACGAGGATGTAGAGGGTAAAGTACAGCGGGGGGGTGTTCGTGGCGAGGAACTCGTCGGTAAGAGCGGCTCGAAAGCGGGCGTCACTAGCGCGGAGGTGAGTGATAAGGTCGGCAGCAGTGTGAAACGAGGCTAAGTCTGGGAACAGGTAAGGCAGGATGAGACTACCAACGGTGGCTGTGGCCGGGGCGGAATAGCGGGCAACGACAGCATCATACAGCGTCTTAGCAGTCTTAAGCTGGTTGAAATGCGCGCGCTCAGACCTCGGTAGGTGATTGCGAATAACAAGGCGCGCGACTGCATCACGGAGCTCCCACTGTGCTCGTTCAGGGGCAGGAGCATTCTCAGCGGGAGTAGGGACAGTGCCAGTGACATAGGCTAGTAGTGATACTCCGTCTGCGACGTCAGTCATAAGGTAAAGCCGCAGATCACTAAGCCAGGTGTCAAACTCGATGGGGCGGCCGTCAGGCTCAAAGGCGAGAACAGTAAGGGTCGCCATGGTTGCAGCGCAGGCAAAAGTAGCAGGCTCAGGCAGCAGGCTCAGGCAGCAGGCAAAGGCTGCAGGCTCAGGCAGCAGGCAACTGTAGCAGGCAGGCAGTTGGTACAGGCGCAGTGCGAGCAGGTAAGTAAGCACGCAGAGTAGTGACGGGCTGCGCGCGGGCTGGCGGGGCGCGACGCGAGCTGCGCGGGCTGCGCGCGGGCTGCGCGGGCTGCGCGCGGGCTGCGCGGGCTCAGTGCAGGCCGCGCGGGCTCGGCGCGGGCTGCACGGACGGTGCGCAGGGCAGCTGCGGGCCGCGCGGGCTCAGGGCGGGCTGCGCGGGCGACCTACGGGGCGCGACGCGGCTGGCAGCAGCTGTGCGCGCTAAAAAAAAAAAAAAACGTGCGCGCGCAGCCGAGGCGCGCGCGGGCAGCAGGCTAGGCAGACAAACAGGCAAGGCAGGTAGGCAGGCCGTTGGTGAGGTAACTTAGTAACTGGTGGGCCCTTAAGGTTAGGTCCTAAGAACCTGCTCTAGATGCCATGTCGAGATAGCTAGGCAAGGTTGTTGTGACTATCGAGAGAAATTGGTACAAGGAGAACCCTAAAGTGTTATCCCCTATAACATCTACCCCACTACAGCCTACCAATATATAACATATATATCATTTGACAAAGGTTTACAGCGATTTCTTGAACGTGGGGCACTGCGGAATCAACGACGAGCTATATACGCTCACCTTCATCGACGCTGGGACACGTTTCGTGTGGGTCGTGAACATGGAAGCGCGCAGCAGAGCGTATGAAGTTTTCCGCCTCTGGCTAGCGCACGCGCAGCGGCAATCTGGGGAGAAGCTGAAAATTTGGCAATCTGACGGCGTAGCGGAGTTCAGGAGCAAGGAATTACAAGATTTTCTGGCGCACAAGGGGATCGAGTATCGCATTTCTCTCCCCTATGCGCACCAACAGCAGGGCGTAGCCGTGCGAACGAACCTCACGCTCATGACGAAGGTACGGGCGCTGATGAAGCAGTCGAAGCTGCCGCCGATCTACTGGACTTACGCGATGCACCACGCTGTGCTAGTGCACATGTGCTGTCAACAAGATCCATCACCAGCAACTTGTCACCGCATGTGAAATGGATCGGGACCAAGGGTGACACCTCCATACTCCACGTGTGGAGGTGCATGGCGCAATATCCCCCACCAACTTCAACTATCGGCAAGTTCGCCAGCCGCGCGCTAGGGAATTGACCTCGTCATCAGTCATGAATACAAGGCATGGATCATTCTGGACCTGCTCAGCCAGAAAACCACCCACGCGTGTGACGTCATCTTCTACGAACGCCTCTTCCTCGAGCAGTTCCGCCACGACGAGCAGACAAATGCGAACCACGTTTACGCAAATGACGGGCACAACTATGCAACACCCGAGGACGAAGCCGCTGCAGCAATCCTGGAGCAGGACACCAGGGGCGAGTTCACGAGAGGAGACCGCCACAGCAGCGACGACAATGACGACAATTCCTCTGGAGGAGGAATGGGCGGAACGGGAGCAAGCGACAGAGGCGCAACGCCACCAGCACCGCCTGAGCCAGAGAGCGACGACGACGATGTGCAGGGGGTTACCCCACAGCATCGCCATGACAGCACCGTCTCCGGGCTGCAGCTACTCGGACTCCACACCGCAACCTCAAAGGCGCCACGTGTCATCGAGCCGAGAATCCCGCGCCAAGCTCTCACCGGACCACACAGGGAGTGGCGCGAGGTTATGGGTGCGGAGATTAAGGCACTCGAATCCCGAGACACCTGAGTACTGGTCGACCGCGCAGCAATTAAAGGTGCAAGGGTCCTCTCCGGCAAGTGGGTCTTCCTCGTGAAGACCGCAGCAGACGGCACGATTGAGCATTTCAAGGCGCATTGGGTGGTGCGCGGCTATGATAAAAGGCACGGCATCGAGTTCGAGTAGACATTTGCGCCGGTCAGCCGTCACACTTCCGTCCGAATCCTGCTCGCCATCGCAGCTGCAAGGCACCTGCCTCTGCGTCAGATCGACGTGAAGAACGTGTTCCTATACGCGTTAGTAGACGCTGTGATCTACGTGGAGCAGCCGCACACCTATGGCGAAGGGGATTCACGCGTGTGTCAACTGCGTAAATCTCTTTACGGGATCAAACAAGCGCCAAGGCTCTGGCAGCAGTACCTGCACAACATTCTGCTTGAAATTGGGTTTAAACAGCTGCCTCACGACCCAGGGATGTACCGCCATGATTTCCGCGGCGAATACATCTTACTCACGGTCTACGTCGACGACCTCCTACAGGTTCAAGCAATGAACTACTGGAGCAGTTCGAGAGGAGTCTGGCAGGACGCGTCGACATTACCTGCGAGGTGAAGCAGTTCTTAGGCCTCAACATCTCTTACATGCCAGGAGCTATCCACCTCTCAGCGGCTAAGTATGCAGAGGAGCTTGGGAAACGCTTCAACATTTCGCCTGCACCATTCTCCACTCCCTACCGAACCCCCGGACCGAACCACAAACCTGACAACAAAGCCCTATCCCCTGCTGGGATTCAGACTTTTCAGCAGCAGCTGGGATGCCTACTCTTCGCCTCTGTTACCTGCAGGCCCGAACTTTCCTACATTGCAAGCCAACTGGCTCAATACTCGCGCAGACCAACGGCTGTGAACCTTCTAGATTTGCAGCGCGCCTTACAGTTCTTCGTTTCAACGCCCAAGATTGGGCTCTGCTACAGTGCCGACCCCATCCTTCAACCTCATCGGCTACGTGGACGCCGATCACGCAGCAGACCCCGACAATCGACGGTCCAGGACTGGCTTCCTGTTCCGACTCGAGCCAACGGGACCAATTTTATGGAACTCGCAGAAACAGGAGCTGGTTGCCGTATCATTAGCGGAAGCGGAATCCATCACAGCTACAGCAGCAGTTCGTGAAGGCCTATACCTGCAAGAACTCCTGCAGGAGGCAAAAATTCCAGTTTCGCCCACCTTTCGGCTTCACTTCGACAACTAGAGCGCGATCCGCATCGCGAACAAACCTGGCTTTATCAACCGCACCAAGCACATTGCGCTGCGGTATTTCTTCGTCAAGGACGAAGTGGACAAAGGCAAGGTTGACTTGACATATTGCACGACAGGTGACATGGCAACGGACTTCCTCACGAAGCGACTGCCACGCCAGCGGTACCACCACTGCTCCGAACTCAGCGGAGTGGTCAAGCAGGTCAAGTCGAGCTATGAATAGTGAAATGCTATTGTACGCTCCTAACTGCAGCTAAACGAAACACAAGGTAACGAGGATGAATGCAAGGAGTCGGAGTTAACTCGAAGCGACGCACACGATTGGAATGGATCTGGACCGTCTGAGCATACGGCATCGGGCAGCTGCAGGGAAGAGGGATTTGGTGGGAACAATTTCGTAACTGTGCGCGCCGCACGGTTGGGAATAAATTTGAATAAGGGAATGTATTCCTTAGAGTACATGGCTAGTTAGGTCGTTTCGAATTGCCCTGTGCTCATATTTATACTTTCTGTATTTGCATGTTTTAATCATCTCAAAGCATTTTACATTCACTCTGTTTTGAGGTCAAGGGCCCACCACCACCACTTAGTTGTGTGCGAACCTTCCCGAGGTGATCCTAGGGTCGACCATTCTCCGATCGTAACAATCTGCACCACGTCCTAAGGACGTGGACCATACCGCTACTGATCGGCTCTGATCAGGTCGAATCGAGTCGGAGCGGGCCAGTTCAAATTGCAGTGCCTGCGCCGCCCGATCAATAAAGTTTTTCGGCGGAGTTTTTGTAAAACTGCATGGCGTCATCACCTGGTTATTTCGCAGCTTTGGCGAGTCATGGCGATAAAAATAGATTCTCGCCATCAACATTGTGACCACCGCGAAACCACCATTCCAGAGATTTTCGCCCAATTTACTATACTTTCGATGTGAGAACAACTTCTGCGCGATAAAGTAACTCGTCGCGGGGTTCGCTAAAAGACACCCAATCGCTGCCGATCAATGGATCTCTATAGATCTACATTGATCTCGATCGATCGAGGTAGATCGAAGCGATTGATTGAGACGGGTCGACTCGTCGATTGCGATCGATAGATTGCTCCCGATTGCCCTGATCGCTGATCCTGGTTTCTGGGAACTTATAGATCGTGATCGATCTAGACAACCGATCGGGTGTGGTCCTAAGGCTCGTGCTGCGCACTTACGCTTACAATACAACCCGGATTTTTTTTGGGTTTAGCAACGATGATTTGTATTGTTTTTGTAATTCATTTTGTTCTGAACCTGATTTATTTGAGATTCTGTTTTTGAAAAGTTTGGGTCTGGGGGCTGGTGCGCTGGCGGTCGCCCGTTTTAGCGAGGTATTCCTACCAGATGGACTGACGTGAGGTCAAGTGCCTTGGTTGTTACAGTTCATCGGATGACAAATTGACAAGCCAATCTCACGAGTTTTCGATGGTTAGGATTTTGTCACGTCAGCATGCAAGTTGCGTGTCCACAAACAAGCGCAATCTCGTTACAGTAAACCTGGTCATATTTGATTCCCCCTATTTTTTCCTGCCCTTCGACACAACTGGATGTTCGCCCCTATGTGTGGGGGACGCTATGCGTTCGTGGCACAGGAAAAACAAATATGTAAATGAATATAACACACATATTTTTACTGCCCGCTAGAATACCTTTGCTCACCTTGGTGCCTCGCTCTGACCTGAGCAATCGCGACTTGGCTTGGGATTTTCTCGTTCTTCTCCTGAGCGCATTTCACGTCCCTCTTCCGCTCGCAAGGTTGCGCCTTCCCCCCACACCTCCCCCCCCCCACCACTCCCAAAATGACTGTGGTGGTCGAGTCCGAATCGGCTACTTAGCCGCTCTCCAAAGCTCTTTCCGTCGAGCTGGGGCAATGTCGTTTGGCGAATTGGGATTCTTGTGCTGCTCAACTACGCCAGGGTGGATCCGAACGAAAACTTCTTTTGAAAGGGCACAGAGAGTCTTTGTCGAGATGACGGGACAAATTGTTGTGGCATAAGGTGGTAATTTTTGTCAGCCACAACTCCCCACCTATGAACAAACGTACGAAAATAAAAGCAATAAAAACAATAAAAAGACAAATTATTCCTTTTCCACTGGAGACAGGGTGCTTAAAAAACACAAGACCATCCTTCCCTTTCGCCAACAATCTGCTTTCGCCAACAGGCTACTGTACAGTACCATTCCCCACATAGCTCTTTCATTCCCCACATAGCTCTTGTTTTTTCACTCAAATTAGCTGTTCTTCCAGCTTTCCCGCCATTCCGCCACCTTCAACCCGCCCCAGCTGCCAAGCAGTTTCGCCATTCATGGCTCCCACCACGCCTAGCACGTCGTCCATGCGCCGCATCTCTTGTCGCCTGCCCCTCCTCGTCATCCTCTTGGTCGCCTCGCCTTTCTGCGCAGCTCAGAGCACAACAACCCCAGACGCGCCTAGCTCAGACCCTGTCGCGGGTGTGCTCCCCGGTGCCGCGGCAAGCGCGGTCGTCGCCGCGAGTGACGACGGGGAGGGGTACTACATGGAGGAGACACCGGCGATCAAGCAGCTAGTGACGCGCCTGGAGCGCATCGCGGGGACCATCAAGAACCCCTGGGAGGTGCTGCTGCACCTCAACGACCTCTTCGCCACCAGCGACGCCGCTGCCGGTAGCAGCAGCGGCGGAAAGGTGGGCGTGAACGCGGTGTCGCCCCTGGCAGATGGGTGCCCCGCCACCAAGGCGCAGATGACCAAGGAGGTGTCGCGGCTGGCGTGGAGGCTGCACTTCCGGCCCATCAAGTACACCATCATGGCGCGCTTCTTCAGGAACCTCGCCAAGAACGCCAGTGAGTGTCGCAAGGATTGATGATGCAGCATTCCCCGCAGACTATGTTCAATAACTTCTTGATGCTCTTTTGCTTCCCATCTCTCGCTGATAAGGAGCGCAAGCTCGTGTATGTTTGTGCGCGCAGAGGAGAACGGCGCGGACCTGACGGGGCTGGGGTGCCGCACGTACTTCATCCCGTCCAACTTCGCGCTGATGAACGTGATCGCCAAGGGCGCGGGCGACGTCAGGTACCTGCTGCTGGCGCCGCTGTACAACATCATCAACGGCACGTACCACTTCGACAAGCTGCGGCGCATGCCGCACGGCGCCACCATGCCCACGTTCATCCCCGACTACCCCATCGCCAAGTACTTCACGCCCGTCACGCCGCTCGCGCTGCTCACATTGGGCGGCTCCATCGTGGCCGTGGGCACGCCCGGCGCCAAGACGATCTTGGCGCGGCTGTCGTGGGCGCAGATCAAGGACCGCGACATCCACTGCGGCAAGTACCTGGCGGCGCACGGCGTCAGCACCATGGTCATCCCGCGCGTCAAGCTCAACAACTGACCGTGCTGCGCGCGCCCGTGTACATGCTGACTGATGACGCCGCCACGCGCGCACTGCGTGCTCGCCATGTGGCCGGTGGCTTGCCTTCGACGGGTGTAATTTAGAATGGCTTGGAGGTCGGGGTTCGGCGGAGGGGGGTTGGGGGGTGGTGTGTGTGGGAGTTCCCATGTGTGTTGAAATCAACCTACTCTTGAGGTTCCTCAATCATTGATGGCTCAGTGCTTGAGGCTCCTCAAGAGCGGGCTAGGGGTTGGGGCACTGGGAGTGTTTCGGCAGTTGTTTGGCCCCTTGTGGCATGGTTACTGCTTTTAGTAGTACTACCAGGTCTCTCTTGTACTGCCGTGTTTGCTCTCTCTCTTTGCTCTCACATGGCAGTCCTTTTATAATAGTTCAGGGACGCCCATCGTGTGTGATTTCTGAGACTACCTTTAGCTAGAGTTTTAGTGAAAAAACAGCCCTGGATGGGACCCTAAATTTCAAGGGTGGCAAATAACATCTGGGCCCAGGGTCTGGGTCCTGTGGAAAATCATATCTATCAGCCTGTGGAACATTTGGGCCCAGGGTCCTGTGGGTCATTTGGGATGTACTACAGCAGCTATTTTCTTCAACCCTAAGAATCTGTGACAAATCCGTGGAAGGCGGCGGCCCGGCGGGGGAGGGGCAGAAGTCCACTTTCTATCCAGCCACTAGCATGGACTGTAAACGAGGACTGTGTCGAGAGTCAGGCATGTACAGATCCAATGTGAACGACTTGTGCACGGCTTCACGTCTCTGTGAGCTGCAGCGCATCCAAGTAGAGCCCATCCTTCCACCACCCACTCTCCGTCTCCCACAGCCGCATACTCAGCGTCGGCGCCACTTGCGTCTCCCTTGCGCTTGCCCCCCTGATGCTCACACGGCCCGCAGGCAGGGTGGTCCAGTCAGGCAGCATGGCGATGGTGGCAGCGGAAACTCGCAGCTGCCTCTGCGCGCCTCCCCCTCCCCCAGCACACCCCTCCTCCCGCACGTTGCTCCATGTGGGCTGCCGCACCCACTTGAACCAGCACCGCTTCTCCACTCGCCTCCACGCCTCCCTCCTCTGCTCCCAGTTCTGCTGCTCGCTGCTGTGCGGCCCGCGAGCCTCAGTGCGCCGTGCCTGCACGGCGTGCGTGCGCCCCACGAGGCGGCGCATGAGCCCCACCATGTGGTGGAACGGGTTCCCCGCAACGCCACCGCCACCCACCGCATCGCCATTCGTTACTTGGAGCGTGGCATACCCACCTGGTGTCTGCTCTCCGCCATGCACCCCACCATCCCCGCCCTCCAACTCCATATCGTCATCCTCCTCGTCCTCCTCCTCGCTCTCGTCGCCGCCTGCGTGCAACAGCCCCACGCGCCTCGGCTGCTCGCCTGCTGCCCGTGCGTACTCATCGTGCGTCGGGTCGCGCGCGACACGCCATGCCACGTCGTACACCCCGCAGCGCAGGGGGGACGGCAGCGCGACGTGCGCGCTCGCCTCGAGCCAGCACACGGTCAGGAGGTGCGGCACCTCGGGGAACACCGCGCCCGCCGCACTCCCCGTCTCCATGTGCCAGTAGCGAGGGTCGTCCATCCATGTGATCGCGCACGCCTTGGCGATACTGATGCTGACAGTGAGCTTGGCGGTGTTGGGGTCCATGCGCGCGTGGAACACCCCGCCGTGCAGCAGCACGCCCCCGCACAGCGCGCGGCACCACGCGCGCGGGTGGGGGTGGCGGGAGGCGAGCGGCAGCGCGGTGAAGCAGGCGTGCTAGCAGAGGGCGGGCAGCACGCGCATCCACGCCACGGGAGACGCAGCAGCGGCGCGCCAAGCAGAGCAGACGAATGCACAGCGGGCGATGAGAGCGGGAGGTAGGAAGGAGAGGACGCACCCGAGGCAGTCGTCAGGCAGGTCCGTCACTCTCGTTGCGGCCGTCATTCTCTTAGTGGGACGAAACTCGACGAATCGTACCGCCGCTGCTGCCTAGCTTCGCGTTAGAAATTGCATATGAATGTCCGACTCGGTCGAAAATTGAACACAGAGGAGCGTGATGCGTGAGACTCCTGACAGAAACTCTGTGGATGAGACGTGTCGGAAGTGAAGGCATCCACAGGTTTCGGCTTGCCTTGTGCTGCACTGCACCCAAAAGCCTGCTCCAGCGGCCTTGGCGAGCTTGACGAAACGTAACAGCTGATAACGAAAGTGTAACATTGAATAGACAGGGAGTCATTGGCAGGGCACGTGCTAGGTTTTGGGGCACCCTGAGCCCTCAGGGCACTTTTCTAGAATCTTAAAAAATGCCCTGATTTCTCAGGGCAAATCTTCAGAGCCTTCCTGATTGGTCAGGGCTTTTGCAGAAACTAATCCTGACCTGTCAGGGCAAAAATAATAGTGTTCAGGGTAGGGTTCTGATTTCAGCGTGAGAAACCCAGCTAGAGCTAGCCAGGCAGAGGACGAGTTGCCTTGGCGGTGGGTGATGGGGTTGGCTTGGCTGGTGTAGCGGGGGATCGGAAATGTCAAGGGGAAGAGAACGTGCGAAGGCGGGAAACATACACGGGGGAAAATTTCAACGGAGACAAAAATCCTCGGGAAAAAATTCCCCCCGAAACGGAACACCCCCCCTTACACCCACCCCACCCCCCCCCCCCCCCCTAAAATCCGCGTCAGGGCAGGCCTCGACATTCATCCTGACGCTACAGGGAAGAACACTACGGCCATCCTGAAACTCCAGGGCATTTCACATAAAAACATCCTGTGACCTCAGGGTTAAAATTATGACTATTCTGAAATTGCAGGGTAAATACAAAACTGCATCCTAAATTCAGGGTAATCAGGATGTTTTGCCCTGATAACGTGGGCCCTGGTCATTGGCATGTCCACTGCTCACAGGGTATTCGTGTTTCAGCCATACACCTGGTCCGCGGTATTTTAACCAAGTGAACTTTGGGTACGTTCCTGGCTAGTGTCAAGCTTCCAGTCATCCGCGGATGACCAGAAGTTGGACCCATTTTAGGCCACCCGAGACCAACTTCGGGTCTTCCGGCCAAAAATTGCCCCTGTTTCCGGAAGACCTGAAGTTTGACAGGGAGTTTGACCCAAAGCTTCTGGCCTTCCTGGGAAGGCCCGAAGCTTGACACGAGCCAGGAACGTACCCTTTGTTCTTTCGAACCTCCTATTTTTGTTTTTGGGTAATGAGATGGCACCCAGAGATTTCGAGGCTATGATTCTGCAGCCGAAGGCATTTCCGTTTAAAGAAACTCACACTTAGTGCTCCGTGAAAGAGGGCGAATCGGCATTGACTGAGTTTTGTTGCCGTCATCTCTTGGAGGGAATGCTAGATACTACCCTCGTAAATGTTTCAATAAACCCGACTAAATAAGTTTGACAAAGGAGAAGTACCCTCGCGTGGTTAAGATAGCGGCGGTTAAAATACCGCGGACCAGGTGTAGCAACATCCAAGCTAGTCTCGAGACGACAGCTTACGTCAAAGAGACACATCATCGAGTCTTAGGGCGTGTGTGAAACAGGGGTTTTAGAAAGTTCATGTTTTTGGCTCGATTTAAGCAGGTTTTTATAAGCTGAACTTGACTCAATTTTGAACTGTGCCAATGTTCGAACCGCGGGTGACAATGCTTGTAGATTCACAATCACACACGTAGGTGCGAATTTGCAAGTTCGAATTTACAAGGGGGGAACCGAGTCGCACATAGGGACTGTAGGTTACCCAGTTTCTATTACTTCACTTCGCGACACGTCACCGGAGTGCTGCTAAAAAAAATGAGCCCTAGACCTCCAGCTCAACTTCGCCCAAGGGACAGTTGAGCACGATACAATATCAGCCAGCTGAACCATTTTCCAACTCAGCATCTCACAATGACTCTCATACAGCTCGTCCGCTTTCTCGGGATTGTGCAGCAGGGATACCTACGATGCCTCGTACTTCCTACGCTCACTGCCATTGGCTCGGCCATCCCCACCCTCGTCGCTGCATTCACTCTGCGACAGACCCGCGTCTTCGTCCGTGGAGATCGCCAGGATGCCCGCATGAGGTGGTTCAAGCTGATTACCCTACTGCCCGAGGATAAGTTTTACGAGTACATGCACGTGGACCGGCGTTTATTCATTTACCTCGTGCGCCAGTACCAGCGCTACAACACCACTACGCGGACACATCCCCTTTTCCACTTCATCTTCATCGCCCTGAGACTTAACCGTCTCGATCATGGTATGACATTCCGTCAACTCGGCCTGCACTTTGGGTATTCGTATTCTCATGCCCAGAAACTTTTCACGCAATTTCTTGACTTCGTCAACAGGGTCTTACTTGAGAAGTGGGCCATCTACCCTGACTTTGAAATGTGTCAAGTCTTCGAACGGAAATTTCGTGCGGAAGCGAGAATTCCAGGCGTCGTCGGTGCCATGGACGGCACGTACATCCACTACCAGGGACAGGGGCCACATTGCGAAGATTTCCGTAATCGCAAAGGACTATTCAACATCATAGCACAACTAATTTGTGACTACAGTGGCTACATTTATGACTTCTACGTTGGATGGCCAGGAAGCGTAAATGACGCCAGGGTCTTCCAGCACAGTCCGGCACGACACAAGATCGAGCTAGGAGGTCTCTACGACTACGTCATCGTCAGCGACACCGCCTATGGCCTACGTGACTAAATCTACACTCCCTACAGGGCGCTTCCAGGCCGCGGACTACCGGACGAGCAGTGCGTGTGGAACCTGCAGCAGAGCCGCGCGCGAATGATCGTCGAGCAGGTGAACGGCAGGCTCAAGACGCGCTGGCGTATGCTGGACGGCCGGCTGGAGTGTGACATTTTCCGCGCCCCGCAATACGTCTCCGCCTGCATCGTGCTGCATAATATCGATCTGCTCCTCGGCCCCCGCCCCCGGCTTCTCCCTCCGCGCGAGCACAACACGTGGTGGCAGGAAGGCCCTGCCGCACTTCTCGCCGCGGGAGGAGGGCTTCACTCCTGCTCGTCGTCGCGCTCCGATGGCGGCGTGCCTCTACGCTTCCTATAGGCTGGGGCATCCTGAACAGACGCAACCAACTCGGATGCAGGGCATTCAGAGGGAGCTGACCACGGCTTACACCCCACAGTCCAACGGTGTAGCAGAACGGGCAAACCGGACTATTCTAGAGACAGCTAGGGCGCTGCTCATAGAATCTGGGCTGGGCAACTCGATGTGGCCCCATGCTGTTCGGCACGCTACCGTGGCTAGGAACAGGGTGCTCACCAAGGTTGGGGATGATTCGTGGGTGCCGTTGGAGAGGTGGCTTGGGAGGAAGCCGCCGGTGGATATGCTAAGGGTGTTTGGTTGCATGGCAGTCGCCCACGTCCCCAAGACCTACCGCAGTAAGTTGGGGGCAAGTGCAATCTGGTGTGTGCATTTGGGGCTGGCTGCCGAGAGCAAGGGATGGTTGCTGTGGGAACCACGCAAGGGTGTGTTGTTTGACAGCAGGGATGTGAAGTTTGTTGAGGGCCTGATGTATGGGGGCTGGAAGCAACAGCCAGAGGCCAAAATATTACAAGAGATGGAGCAGATCACCATGCAGCTGGACCTGACTCCTAGTGTGCGGGAGGAGGGAGAGGAGGCAGCTGCAGAGGGTGGTGATGGAGAGAAGGTGCAGGAGGCACCTGCTGGTGGAGGAGGTGATGTGGAGACTAGTGGTAGCATCAGGGAAGCTGCTGAATCTGAGGGAGGAGAGCAGCAGCAAGGCAAAGCTAAGGTGCCTAAGCTACCACAAAGGAGGAAGCCAAAGGGTGTTGTAATGAAGGGATGGGAGACACCTGTCTCTAGGCCAGGACGCACCCGCATGGCAACAATGAAGCTGACTGCAGGAGCTGATGCAGCAGAGCAGCAGCTAGGGACCGAGGAGGCATTGCTGATTCTACCGCACGGCTATGACCCGGATGAGGAGGATAAGCCTGGGTACTGTTTTCTTGCCCGTGCACCAGAGGAACCAGCTAGCATGGAGGAGGCATTAGCTGGACCAGATAGGGACAAGTGGCTGGCTTCTAGGGATGCTGAGTACCAGAGCCTGCTGGAGAATGGGACTTGGGAACTAGTGGTGCTGCCTGAGGGAAAGAAAGCGGTACAATGCAAGTGGGTGCTAAGGATCAAGACTGACGACAAGGGGCAGGTCACCATCTACAAGAGTAGGTTGGTGGCTAAGGGATTTATGCAGAAGGAGAAGCGGGACTTCAATGAGATCTTTGCTCCCACTGCCAAACCCCCTACCCTCCGTGTCTTGTTGGCAGATGCAGCCGTTAGTGGGAAATTCATCATTCAGATGGATATATCAACGGCATTCCTCAATGGGATTTTAGAGGAGGAGGTGTTCATGACGCAGCCGCCTGGGTATGAGGATGGTACGGGCAGGGTGTGCAAGCTGAAAAAGTCCATCTACGGCTTGAAGCAGGCGCCACGCTGCTGGTACCAGAAGTTGGCAGCTGTTTTAGAGGAGATAGGATTCAGGACCAGCAGCTGTGATGAGAGCCTCTTTCTCAAGGGGGAGGGGGAGGAGCTGGTGATGTTTCTGGTCTACGTGGACGACATTCTTCTCTTCAGCAGCAGCATGAAGGAGATCCAGAAAGTGCAGCAGCAGCTGATGGAGAACTTCAAGTGCAAGAACCTTG